AAACTAATTACCCAGCATTATTTGATCAAAGAACCATACTTCTGATGTGTTTTCAGATGGCAACACACTCAAATCTCTTCACATGACTCAATAAACAAACTGAAAACATCATTTCACATGTCTTTTGCCACCAATTTTTATTGATACGCAACCATCGAATCAAACCTCTTGGCGATTTGCTTCCGTCAATCATGCACTCCTTACATGGCGCTATAAGAATGCCTGATTTGTTTTTGAAAATATGGCTGTCACTGTGTAGCCTGTTCATTCAACATGGTTGCTTGTTATTCTTCAAGTTTACGTTGGCAAGTGGTCTATTTGCTCATGGTGTATTTGCTTGTGCATGGGTTTTAGCGTGAGCATTGTAGGAAGATTTCTGCATGCAGGGGAAGACATTTGTGAAGACAGTTCAGGAAATCTATGGTTGATTACCCAGCTGGAATGGGAAAAGCAAGGCAAATGGATGGCAGGTGAAAAAAGAATCACATAATTGGCATAAGTAAACAAACATTCAGTAGATGACACTGATCCCACGACATAATTTTTGTAAGGAGAATCACTTAACAATATCCCGCAGTGTATAAAGATGAAATACAGAGATGGCTAGATGGCAATATGCCTTTTAACTGTTTCAAAAATAAGATTTGGTACATACTTTCGTGTGGCAGTGAGTTTGACTTGTAAATTCATTGTCTTGCAATCAAACTCATTCATAAATAAATATATTTCTGTATTTCTGATTTGTGCAATTCTTTTCTAACCTACCGTCCATTTACCTCGCTTTTCCCATCCGGGCTGGGTAATCAACCGTGGAGTTATTCTGTAGATTCCCCAAATTTTCTTCCCAAATGAAATGTCTTCCCCACGTGCAGAAATCTTACTATAATGCTAACGCTTAACCCCAGCATGAGCAAATAGACCACTCACCAATGTAAACTTGAAGAATAACAAGCAACCATGCTGAACAAACAGGCTACACAGTGGCCCCCATATGTTTGAAAACATGAGTGGCAACCCTATACATGTAGCAAAATATAAGGAGCGCATGATTGACAGAAGTGAATTGCCAAATGTTCGCGGGCGTTTTGATCCAAGAGTCGCGTATCAATATAAATTGGTGATGAGGAGTCAGCATCTACTAATAATTGTAATTGTGAAACCAATGTCTGTGCCCCTTGAGTTTCTTCATGATTTTAGTTATAGAAACATAAGTGGAAGTTTGCGAGAATGAGAAATGCTGTTGGCTGTTGCCTCCTGTTCCCAGTGCTTTCTTGAGCTCTCCCAAACTTCCACGAGTGTTTCTATAAGTTGATAGGAACACGGAAAATCCTGTGATGAAAAAAGAGGGAATGAGGAGTAAACAACAGCACCAATGAAAAATCAATGATGTCAATGAGCAATGGATAGGCCACAAAATGTTTGGTCAACAATTAATTGTGGACTTCTCATTGATTACTGCCAATAATCAATGATTAATCGGATGAACAGTAATTGATTACTCATCAATTACTCATTGATGTCATTGACCATCGATTACTTACGTCTGGAACTTAACACCCATTAATTCTTAAAATTGACTTTCAAGACTCATTCTGGAAACTACAGGTAACATATTTTCAATAAACAGAACACTGTGCCTGTTAAAATATCGAATGAGCAAGTCCAGTTGTATGGTACATGATTCAACAACTTAAAGCTCAAGGTCTTTGCGTTGTTTGTGAGGTCTTCAGTCTGTGTTTTTAGCACTACCTAGTGGCAGCATCCTTATGAATAGCCGGGCAAGAAGCTTATAGAGGCTTCATAAAAACTATTAACAGAAAATTCCCACTGCTGAAGTTCAGTTTACAACACAATCTGTACTTAATTAACCATTAACAGAAAATGTTCACATTTTACAAACAACGAGTCCATTGTTGACAAAACAAGTTCAGCCTGGAAGTTCACACATTTACAGTAAACATCTTCTGACAAAGGTATGGGGGAAGTCCCATTAACTGAATTCTTTGCCAGAGCAGACAGAGTCATCAAGAATATGGACATGAGATAACCTGTGCAAAAAAAAAAAGAGTTTAGCAACAATGGGGAACTGAAAGGAAGAAGTCACATCATGTGACCCTACACATTATTAAACAAACCTTTTAATTGTTATTAGCATGGGTAGGTTACTGTACAATGATAATTTTGTTGAATGGTTTGGGCAAATGGCAATATTAAATGAAATTTGTGACATGGGAAATGGTCTTGTTTCATCCCATTTAACAATACCAGCATACTACACTAACTCCTTTCTACAGAGCCTGTCAGCAGGCTCATGTTGGAGCACAAGCGCTCATTGCGTAGCTGCGAGCGCGAAATCGAGCAGTGAAGCTGCAAGACGACAAAGTGAGCTTGCTCTGATCTCTGCAAATTTTTTATTTCCACTCTGGAAACCGCAGAAAAAATAAGCCAACTAATTTTCACCAGAAGTATTAACTATGGCAGCTCAGATTTCTCAGGAAAATTGTAAATCTTTTTCATAACAACAAGCAGGCGTGATATCTGTTGTTGATACAGTTTTGCAGAAGAAAAACCGTCAAAGCTTATGTCCAGCAAGGACACACACTTGATTCCAAGTGATCTTTCTTTGGCAGTCTGGTCTTTGATGATAATGATAATAATAATTTATTTCTAGCACATTACATCAAAAATCTCAATCACGCTCTTAGAAAAAATAGTAATAATTTAATTAGGATCAAGGGTCCTTTACAATAATCAATTACAATGTAAAAACTAAACAACAAACAAGATTGGCATGCTTAAAGATGAAATACAATGCTTTAAGTCTGTTTTTAAAAATGACAATGGACAGGGCACTGCTCACGACTAGTGGAAGGTCATTCCAAAGCATGAGTGCGCAAGATGAAAAAGCGTGACCACAATAGTTTTTTTGTCCTAAACACTGGCCTGTACAGTTGCAGGTTGTCAGTGGCGTTTGAGCAAAGATGCCTATTTGGTTGATGCAATACTAACAAATCAGCTAAGTACTTAACACTTACTTACTTGTAAAATGGCAAACACCTTTGTGTTGTTTCGTTGCCTGCTTACAATCACATACATTTGCAATATTTAACTCTTTCCATGTGCAGTCAGCAACACAACAAGTACATCTTGATTCATAAACATACTTTCAACTGCTATTTCCTGCTCCCTCCTTAGTTTGATATTTACCCAGAAATGAGATAGACTGGAACTTTGTTAAAACATTCAGTAATGCGTGCACTCAACTATTTCTCTGACTCTAAATGTGGATGACTTATTTTTTATTGTGAGAATGTGCGATAAATTACCGACTCCATGGGGATCTAATTGCTCCTCATCAAACATAACAGATTGACAGTTTTCCACGTTTCGGCCAATGGCATTTCACTTCACTCAGGCAAAGCAGAAATGAACAAATTACAGAGATCAAGGCAGGCTCACTTTCTTGGCACCTCTTCTCCAGACTCCTTTCCATCAGATCGCTTTGCTCTTTGCCGCTCATGCACGTGACTCAAAGGTGAGCCCACTCTCAGCGTACTTTCTACAAAACCATCCACAAACACCATTCACAATTACTTAACAAATAGAGAAGCCTAAGCCATGTATTACACTGTGATTAAACACGACGGGCATTTGAAAACACAAGGAAAATGTAGAAAAATGAAAAATGTAGAGTGTTTTCTATGTTTCTCGAGTGTTCTCAAATGTCCAGAGTGTTTAATCACAGTGTAATACATGGCTTAGGCTTCTTCATTTGCTTTATGATATAGAGATAAGGTGGCGAAAAACAATTAAATATGCTTTTTCTATGTTTTATACTCTGATAAAACATGGGTTTTTGACCAATCAGAGTGGATGCAGGGTCCCATCTATATTATAATATTTAGTAACTATCAAATAGCAGATGGTTTTCCTTCTTTCACAAACAAAATTATGCACACATGTGGTCTAGACAAAAATGTTAGTGGATGCCAGAGTTGTTATTCCAAATTAATGTATTCAGCTGCTTTTCTGAACCTTAAAAATGCATTATTTTCTTATTATAGGACATAACATAACTATCTTTTGTTTGGTTTAGGATAGACCACAACAATAAATACTACAAAACAATAAACATTTAGGACAGGACAGGCCTGGTTGCTTATGGTAACTTTTAAGGGTCAAACAATGTCCAGCCATGACCAGATTGGTCTCCTTTTTGTTCAAAAAGAAAAAACCCTTTAGAGCAGTAGATATAGGTGTAAAAGTATGGGATTGCCTAATAAAAGGGTTCCCAAATCTCCACTGAAACAGTGGGTATTATAACAGGGGGTGGGTTTATGTACGGGAATTGTTGTAAGCCAAAAATTGAAAATAATAAAAAAAAATAACATCAGATCAAACTGTTAGATGTTTAAGTGTACACTAATGTTGAGGGATCAACAAACTGCAATGCAGCCACGTCTACCTTTTAATTGTGTTCTTGGGCAAGACACTTTACTATCACAGTGTCTCTCTTCACTCAGGTGTTTTGATGAGAACCAGCAAATTTAACACTAGAGACAATGTTGCGATCTGCTAGGAGGTAGTAGAAATATCCCTAGTTTCTTCATGCTACTGAACTGTGAAATAAAGCATGTTATTCCAATTCCAAGATGGTGTAGAGGAAACCACGAATTCCCATGGCTATTGTGTGGTACCATACTTGCACAGAATCAACTGGATAACAAGGTACTTCATGTATTGTAATTATTGACACACATCAATCAATTGGGAAACATGTTTGGGCAAAATAGTTGTTTAATGAAAAGAATTTGAAGCCCCCAAGAGGGAGAGCGGGTTGCAAGACTATATAGGTGAAACAGACCATGAGGGAATGAAATATGAGACTAGAAAGCTGATAATTATTGATACAATCGATTATCTAGTAATTAACTGAGTCTTTTGATCTGAATCACAACTTACATAACTATTACAATGTTCCAGAACCCTTTACATGATTGGCACAGTTGAAAAACTCACCAACTGCAATGTTTACAGCAACACTGTAGTTACTATTTCCTCTGACACCAATGCTTTGTACACCAACAGTGAAATTCTCGCTATGTACAGTTGTCGAGTCATCTGGTACATTGAAGACAACATAATGATAAATTAATTTTACTGACTTCATTATTTAACAACTGCACAACAAGTACAGTACATGTACACAAAACCGCAGTAGAGTGGTAAGTGTACACGATTATACAGGGTACACAGTCTCAATACTGATTCCAAGGGACTAGTTAGAGAGTTTGTTGTAAGCTGTTAGTTGTTGACAACTAAAATGAGTAGGCAGTTATTATATAGTGCTCAATAGTAGGCACTTTCCATTCGAACAAAAATTACAAAAATTTCAAAACAGGGACAAATGGTAAGGAAATTTACTCAAAATTGTTGAATTTCCGAAAAGTGAACCATTCATCTGAAAATTCCACGAGGAAAGTCAAATGGGATGGAAATTCCCATATATACCCTTGAAAGGTTGTCCTCTTTTCTGGAAACTCTGGAAAATGCTGTTCCATTCACCACTGGAAATTTCCAGAACTGAAAACTGGAATTGTTGGTCAAATGGACAGCACCTAGCAGTTTTCTTTACACTGGAGACCAAAGTTATTGATAACTTAATTTTTAGGCAAGAACTTAGTAATCGGCATGGTTTTGAACTTACACTGATGTTGGATCTGGTTTTCCAATGCCACAACATGCCATTCGACCTGGGCGTTCTTGGGCAGCGCAGGCACAATGATGTAAGACATCAACCCCACTGGAGATTGGTCTGACTCTATGCTGTCTCTGCTCTGTTTTCAAACAAATCCAGATAATAGATTTTAAAACAACGCAACTGTTGTGGGCAAAAGTTATTGCCCTATGCATCTATTATGAGATGTAACATGCTAGGCTAAATTGAGTGATATCTAATAGATACATCTTTAAGTGCACTTCTAAAGAACTGTTCTTTAATAACATACAAGCAATCGCAATACAGATAAAGTTTTTTTTAAACAATTGAAACATCAATCAGTACATGTAATGTTAACATTGAAAAGATGAATGTAACTGGTTTAAGTGGCCATAAAAATGGGGTAAAATTTTAAAGGATTATACAGGTTGGTATTTCAGAATGTGGCTGTTGGCTGTATTAATGGGGTGGCCACATAAACAGGGTGTTCTTATACTGTAAGAAAAGGTATAGGTGTTTTGCCGGGACAAAAAAAGTGACCATAATAAGGAGATGACCATTAGATAATTATTATTAACAAGGTAATGGTAAGGCAGGGTTCCACTGTACAGGCAAACCACTAACAAGAGTAGTCCACCAATGGGAGAGTGACTGTATTTGTCCCATCACATTACACATGTATATATGACCCTGATGGAACCTGTGAGCTGATGTGTATGAAGGGTTCTCAACTATCATAAACAGAGGACTGCAACTATGTGGACCCCTTAAATAAATTGCAGTCACTTCTGACATTGCATGTTGGTGATGCTAATCCATAATAATGATTAGCTAGTAGTACGGTACGTGCACAATTTGTGCAAAGGGTTGCAACTACACAGTCTGAAAACATTACTCCCTCCACTTGCATTGCAGCACTATGTCTGCAGTGTGTCAGGAGTGGTGAATGGTAAATGCGAGACTTTGCAAAAAGGCGAGACTAGCGTTTTTTCTTTGCAAGCCCAAGCATTTTGACTTTTTAAATTGCAAGAACAAAACCTGTGCTTATTGTGATGTGGAAAAAAAATGCAATGTGACTACTTGATTGTTCAGTTATAAAAATAGTAGATCACTAAAGCGTAACTGTTCCTTTGATAAGACAGTTCTCTTGTCTTACCTTAGGATTTGACATTTGGTGCCAAGAAGTTTTTGCAACTGACACATAAGCAGGTGAAGTTAGAAAGCAAAATCCATGAACAATGCTCTTGAGTGACTCGCCTGGATTTAGAGCTGTTATAACTCTCTCCACATGTTGCAAAGACAGAGGAGCTTCCTGTGAGATGCCGCCTTGTATCATTGACATGGTTGGTGGCCACAAACCAATTGAACCAGACACAAATATCGTATCTCCAGCCTGCAGAATAAAACAAACAGTTTTAAGAGTACTGTTACATTCAATTTCAAAAACCTTCAACTGGAGCTATGCTCATTGCTAGGCATTCTGTCATCCTAAATAAGCAAGATCTGCTATAATAGACTCTAGTTACCTTAGTTGCTTGGCTGTAAGGACCAATATTTGCTGGTGCCCAGTGAGAGATGCTTTGAACGTGCATAGCTTCCCTAACTGAAGTGTCAGTGCTTTGAGCAGCATAAACAAGGCAGTCAGCCTGGATGGCAATGTCCTCTGGTAAATTCAGCTGGATGCAAGCTCTATGAAACATAAAACAGTTCTGCTAAAAAAGCTTTCCTATAATATGAGGTCAAAACCACGAACAGACCACAAAAGTGTCCATTAACAAGGTGTCTGTACCACCTTAAAAGATACTTTAAGAGAAGTTAAATTGTCAATGAAAGTAAACCAGAAGAAGTAAGAGATCAAAGTAATCCAAGGCTTCAGGCTTTGGGATGACTGAACGAACCAAAACAATATCTATCACATTGAAACTACCTGGGTATCTTTGCAACAACAAAACAGAAAACAAAAAACACAACCAAAAGAAAGTAAAAATTTATGCAATCCATTTAGTTTTGCACATGCCCTGGGCTTATTCATTTAACAGTATCTTTACCTTGCAGGAGGGTTCACCCTTAGAAATGTTTTATAAACTGCATTGATTTTTGCAAAGTCATCCATGTTCTTCACAAAAAGGTGAACTATCATTCCATCACACAAGTTTGCCCCCAGATTAGTAAGTGTGTCTACAGGGAGAATCAAATGACAACTGATGTTAGTATAGAAAACAGTAGAAACCGATAAATTCAATTAATTTGGTTTTTACATGGAGAGGTGACTGGTCCCAGGGTGCTTAAACTGGCAACCTGGGGCACTTTCTATTTGATGAAAATTCTGGTTTGAATTTCCAGAAATTTCTAGTGACGAATGGAACAGCAATTTCAAAATTTCTAGAAAAGAGGACAAACTTGTGAGGTAAACAGAAATTTCCTTTCCAATTGATTTCCTCCCAGACTTTCTGGAATTTTCAATTGAATGGTTCACTTTTCAGAAATTCAACTATTTCCAGATTTTCTGAAAACTTTCCCGGGAAAGTGCTGTTTCAAAATTTTCAGAACTTTTGGTTAATGAATAGAAAGTGCCTCTGGAGTGAAGGACCATTTTTTGTCACAGTCTCTCTCCTTCAGCGGCCTGCTATGGTTAAGCCCTCTACTGTAATTTCTCAGGTCAAAGCTCAGATGCTGATCCTGGGAGAGGAGACGTGAGTGTGCAAAGGTAGATACCTGTTTTCACTCTCTATGTACTGTACCGTGTGTGGAGGTCTCACCTTGCAAGTGTTGTAAAACATTTCTTGTTACGTCTTCAATTGTTAGCATTTTTCCGTCAACACTGCGATGGCCATAAATTCCAGACACCCAAATATAATTTCCACATCTGCTGTAGAGAATATGATCTGGTTGGAAAAAAAATTAAAATGACTGTATTTTAAACATTTTTATGACCATTATTTTCTTCACTCTGTTATTCTTCACGGCTTGGAAAACACCTATTAGTTTTATTTGAAGTTTAGTTTTTATTATCATTTTTAAAATTGATGTTTCAGAGTTGGCGTGATGTCCTCTGGATGTTGCAGACATAATAGTATTTCGAAAGATTGGATTTACATTTAGAAATAACAAAACAAAAATGGTCAATTCATAAGTATTTCCAGTAGCTGGAAATCAATTGACTACTGTTTAATGACTAAAGAGCTTTAATTAGTTTATTCTCTAGTCAAGTTTGAGTTCAGTGTTGTTACGGTACTTCTCCTGGGTAGGACAGCAAGACAATCTTCATGTACACGTTGGTTGTTGAAGAGGGAGAGATCCCAATGAACCTATGGAGCAAAGCTCAAGAACCAACAACAAAAACCCTATACAGAGAGTTTCCAGGCATAGTTGAACCTGAACCATAATATTTTGTGGTAGGTTAATACTCATGCAACTGCACAATCTATACTTTCCTTATTATGTACTGAAGAACTGAACAAAAAGAGACTGGAAGAAGACAGTGGGAAATGAAGCCTTCATGATTATTTTCAATCTTTTATCGTTGACATCTTACGGTAAGAAACAGATTCCTGAGCTTCATTAATTCTGCGCTTATCACCTTTCTTTTTTTCTTGTGATCTTGCAGGGATCTTGATTCTTTGTTCTTTACACTTGACAGTCCTGTCCTGTTCAGTATTTGTTACATCATCTAGCTTGTTAAAGAACAAATTTAGAATTAATGCAGAACCTTTGTAACAATGTGGAAACACACTATCTTCATGGTTAGTGCACTTGCCAACCGATAATGTGGTCTGGGTTCAAGCCCTCGCAAGGGACACTGTGTTCTCTTCTTGGGTAAGTCAATACCATATAGTGCCTCTCTCCACCCAGGTGTATAAATGGGTACCAGTGAAGTGTGGGGTAACCCTGATTTGGACTAGTTTCCCATCCAGGGGGGAGTAGAAATACTCCTGACCAAGTTGCCTCATGCTACTGAAACCAAAGATAAGCACTTGACTCTTTTGCAGACTTTACTCGTCTTCTGTGTTCTTGTCAAAAGACTTGTGCAGGTGCATTCTCCAGTTGTAAAAATATTTTTCTGCTCTAATTGCTACCTTCAAAGACATGTAATTTTCAAAAAATTAGAAGCCTACTAGCTAATAGTTTGTGAAGAGTACATGTTAAGTTCAATTTTGGGAGTGAATGGGTTAATTCAGAGCTGAAAAATTCTTACCTGTATTTGCAACTTGTCCAAAGATTCTAGACCTGAGGTGTGGTTTTTAAGACACTGACCAGACTGAAAACAAACAAAATTTAACATAGAATTGAGCACCAGGAGAGAGACTTCTGTTAACTCTAGCTATGCCTTTGATTAACTAACAGACAACTTTTAGAACTCAAAGAGATAACCAGTGCTTGATTGTACAACCTTTTCAATAACTTTCCAATTCAAAAGGACAGGATTGTGTGGTTCCAGAAGGCATCCATACCCACTCCAAGTATTGGAAATTCCAAGGGGGGGGGGGGGGGGGGGGGGGGGTTTCAAAAGTAAAAATTTATAAAGGAAAGTATGTAGTTAGACTGGAATTTCCAGGGGGCATGGAGGTAGGGTTCAAACTAAAAACCTTCCATGGGAGGGGTATGGTCATTTCTGAAACAACGCAATACAACCTCACATTTACCTGTCCTGTTTACTGTGTTAGAGATAACACACTTTCTAGCTTAGAAACTGATATCACTGAAAGTACTGAGAAAGAGGTTATAAGTCACACACGAGGTACTTGACCAAGAATACAAAAACCTGACATGATGTTTAAATATAGCTACATGCACTGTTTAGTTTAAAATGTTTTACAAAATCTTATGTTATCAAAAGTTTTTCTACAGGAAACATATATTACATTTAAGGAAATGAAGTCTTGCAGAAAAGAGAGTTCGGTCCTATGTTCAATTGTATCAGAACAAAATCTGTTGTTAGCACAAGCTGTTGATCAAGAGTCAATCGATTGTCAATCGAGTGTTGTTCCTTTTGATCAATGTCAGAGTGTTGATGGACACTCAACCGTTGATGCCTTCAATACACAACACCTATGAATCACACAATAATTATTGTATATTATCTTAGACAAATGGTATCTAGAATGGATGATCAAATTCTTTATGTCAAACAAAACAAAAATTCTCATACCATTAGGTAATGTGAGCACCTCCTTTGGTAAATTACTAAAGTATGCATGTCTCATGGCATCAGTGGCAGATATTCTGTTTCTTGGAACACACTACAGAACAAAATAGTAATGTAGTTGTGACTACTACAACAAATAACAGTAATCCCATTTCATCAATTTATAAAATCCATCCACCAACACAATGTATACATCTATATATACATTTCCTTTCAAATTTTAAAATCTTGGGGTAAATTAGTTCAAGTAAATGATAACAACATAAATAAATAATCCAATGATATAGTTATGGCATAAATTTATTTTGTTAAGCAAGTTCTCAAGATTAGTTGCAATAGAAACAACAAGTGTACGGCAAGTACCACACTCCTTTTAACTCTAACTTTCTTTTGTACTAAGTGATATCAGTTGAATAATACAAAGTACATGTTTTTCATAATTTGACTCACTACAGGTTTGTCAAAACAGCACAACTCATAAAATACAATCATCTAGTATGTTACTGAACTAGTGTGAGGTTTGTGGGGAAAATATTGGTGGAGTTACATTAAAGACCCATATTCTCCAATATGAACTGAACTGTTAACTGAATGGATGAATAAAATGTTGGTTTTATCCTGGTCTAACTTTAAATTACTGCAGTCCATCAAACAGCAGATATCACTTGTGCAAATATCAGTCCGTGTTTTGACTAAAAGGATATCACAGGTTTTGAAAGCAATGTAAAGCTATAGTTTGCTGTCTCATTTAAAATCATGCAATTTCGCTAGTTAACTTGGTCACAGCATCATTTGACTACCAGAATCCTTCACGTTTCCTTTTCTCTTGCCAATTAGGAATTTTTCATGTAAACACTGTTGTGGTTTAAAAATTTAAATTATAAAGGAGCAAGTAAATTAATTTTGGTAGTTGTAGTCAGAGGATGATATCATGCAGGCCGGTGTGTTATGGTTTACCTGAACCATTCCTGTGGCTAGAGATTCAGCACCAGTCAAAAGCAGCAGCCTTCAGTTAAAAAAGTAAGTAAATAAGTATGTAAGTGGTTGCAAGTTAGAAGTAAATACGTTTATATGAAGTAAGTAGGTTAGTATGTGCACATGAACATATTGGAGCTACTGCAGAATACCCTGCCACATCAAGCCCTTTAATGAAAACGGGTGGCTATGCACTGCATGGTACCCAGTGAGTTATACACTGTACCCTGTATATGTTAGAGGAGAAGCTATCTGAGGGCCTCTTCTTATGAGCCCAGTTGACCAGGCTGGCCCGGTTACTGTAAAAAATTGGTGTGTTCATATGAGAAGGTGGACCAGCCAGGTTACTGAGATCTCGGTTTCTACAACCAAGATGAGAATTTTCTCGTATGATGAACACTCCAGCCTGGGTATCCAGGATGAAACAAAATGGCATGTTTTTGCCTTGTATATATTTCTACTTCAGAAGAATATCAATAAGATTTATTAGTTAAGTTATGAGACTTACCAAAGCTGCAATGGCTGCAAACAATACTACTTTATGTGGTATCATTTTGGTCTTCTTTCTTGAATTCACCTAAGTCAGCTAAGCTGTCTTTTTCCATATGATCAGACAACAAAACTTGTCTTGGTAACTGAGCCAGCCCAGTTACCCGGCTCATATGAAGAGGCCCTGACATGCTGGCTACACAGTACAAGCTACACAGAGGGTAATACATTTGGATTCACAACTTAATTGTTACTTGAATAAATTGCCAACTTCAGCTTCAACTAACAAGTCTCTTCATACCATGTAGCCAGCTATGCAGAATTTCATTCAAGAGGAAGTGTATACTACAGATAAGCCTACATATGTACACACATGGGTGTATGTAGTTATTAACGCAAATAAGTAAACAAGTAAATAAAGAAGTGAGAGCACTGTGCAAAAGCAATGTATAAAGAAATGTATTTATCTTACATGTACTCGTTCCCAGGGGGTCTCTTTTTCTCACCCTCTCTCTTTCTTTACTTCAAGGGGTGTGAAGAAGAGAGACCCAGGGAATGAGGTTGCATAAGAAGCCAAAACTTGGGAACATTGGCACTAGTTTCAAAACATACACTATCCATAATGGAACAGAACAAAACCAGAAGATCTGTTAGATCTTAAAACTGCACTTGTAAAATTTCTCTGTTTTCTTAGCACTACAGTCGCAACGTAGTGCACATTCGAAAGCAGTCCTTGATGATTCATTGATTACTGTAGACACCACATCACTTGGTCAACACAAACCGTATTATTGCACCATTGCTCTTAGCCGTTGTAAAATCTCCAATGATGTAATGGTCTTAATCTGGAACTTTCTTCGGGATATGTATGGGCATGAACGATACGAATGATAATTATGACAATAACACTATTAACTACAGCTTTCTTTCTCAAAAGTCATGATTAAATTCAATTGGTTTTTCCATGAGTAAAGGGCAAGCAAAGTGGTCACACGAGTCACATAATTAAAGAATTACGTTATCCACGTCTACGCTATCCATCAGTGGAAGGAATTCAAATCCCTCTGGAACTGGTTCTGTAAGAGTAAGTGCCCAGGGGCTCTCTCGCTCTTGTTGTAAACTTTCGCCCAAAAATGTCGCTTGCCACAAAATATTCGTCCCAACTAGCAGCCCCTAGATCTCCAAGGAAGTATCTAGTGAGAAACATGGCCCAACTTCCATAGCTTTTTGACATCAGGATGACCAGCACATAAATTCTCTGCTGTTTGAAGGTGCACAACCTGATCACGTGCAAGTCAAAAGTTCAAGCTGTTGTTTCCCTAGGACTTAATGAGTTTTGTTCCCCCTAGGGAGTACGCGAGTTTCAACTCATCACATGTGACATGTTCTCCAATCAGGAAACATATTTGAGTTGGGGGGTATAACAATGCCAATTGCTCCTTACTTAAGGTGCTCATTTCGTCTCACTTGCACCATGCTGCACTTTTCCTACTTTACATGGCCCTTGTCATTTTACATGAATAATTCGAGACCACTCGCAAAGCTTAGAAATTTGGGTCTGCCACCATTGCTGCTTGTCTCAGTTTTCATATTTGTGTTTCTATCCTGTCTCACGATCAATATTCACATCAGAAGAAACTTAAGGGTATGTCAGTACAGTGATGTGTCATTGCAGTACCACTGTAATGATGCGTGCAAGTTTCCAGTTTTTGAGCTCCTAAACAATTTTCTTAGTTCTCTCAGGTACAGACAAAACACACCCAAGGCTTTCTAAATTTACCTTCCTTCAGCCAAGAACCAGGGTTAGAGAGATCATTCTTGTTTACAACAATGGAGAGTACAGATTCTAAATTTGACCACTTACTTTGGAGCAACAATGCCAAGTCGTTGAGGTGGAAAGTCCACAAACAAATCTAAATTAATGGAAACAAGGCATGTTACTTATAAATTAATTACTTATAGCTAAACTAAGTTAAACTTTGTTATTTATGGATATGGAATTTTGAAGCTTAAGGCGTAGAGGACCCAAGTAGAAAAATCATGGAAATTCCAGGGGCTGGGAGGGGTACTGTAAAGTCCCCTGGAACAGAAAATCCTGGGGGGTGGGGGTCAAACTGGAAAAAACCCTCCATGGGGGATATGGATATTTTCTGGAACCACACAATTAGCAAGAGTATCCCTGCTAACGTTTGGAGTAACCTTAAACACCATTGAAAGGGTTGAATAAAGTCAATTATATCAACCAAAGATACATGCCTTGTAGTCCTGTGTACCAACCAATTTGTAATTAATTTTTCATAATTTATTTTAAATTGGCGCTTGAATTACCATGATTTTGAGGCCAGAGGTCACGTACTATTTTAATGTAGTTTTTATGGTCTATGTGTTTCTTGTTTACCCCATGAAAATAGTTGAAGGCCATTGAATTACCAATTTTTCATGATCTATTAACATTACAAATTTTTAATATTAATGGATAGCCATGGTTTTTTCATGGCCATGAATTCAGTGCCTCAAGAAAAGTCTGTGAACTACAACACCATGAAAACCATTAAAAGGCTATGAAAAACAATTCCTAAATTTGATGGCTTTTTCATGGGTATTTCAGGGCTTTGCCTATAAATTAAGGGGTTTCATGGGCTGTGAATTGTGAAATATTCATGGCTTTTTAATGTTTTTTCATGCTTTTTTTCAGGGTTACATGCCATGAAAAATCCTTTCATTTTCCCATGAAAATGCCATTAAATTTTTTTAAAATTCCCATGAATTTACCATGAATAAATTCAAGGATTTCATGGGTTTTCAGTTTATAGTGCATGTTGTTATATAAGTTTACTTACATGTATATTAATCAAATCAAATCAAATCAAATCAAAACTTTATTTATCGAGGGTGACATGTAATAGTTTATCAACTAACAAATTTGTGGCCCTCTTAAATGTACTAAAAGTTAAAAATCTACTATTAACAATAATCAATTAACATTTTTCAATTTAATTCAAAATAAATGAGTAGCGTCTAAAAATTCACCCACAATCACTGCAATTTTGGCAAAGTTTACTGATCATTACCTGCATTATACTCAGGAAATCTGGTCACTCCAGGCCATGTTTCTTCTGTTGCTGTTCCTGCAATCTTAATCCAAGAGAAACAATCAAAGTGTTCTATGAGCAAATGCATGAATTTCCCAGCAGTGAATGATATCTGATATGAGCTAACCTCTGTGTAATATGAAATCACCCCTTTCATATAAAAAAACTAATGTTTTAAAGTGAAAAAATTACAAGAAGCTATAACCAAAGCTTCTTTAAGGTTGCCATATACCTTCAAATCACTGATTTTTCATCTGCATTTTCTGAAAAGAATTATCTCAACACAGAAACATATTATTAAAATGCAAGTCCACAGTCCAATTTAATGTTGTAAGTCAACAAGACTGTCAAATGCAGAGTTTGCAGACCCCGATTTCAGGCTTCAAGTAGTTTCAATGGTTGTGCGTATCCTCTAAAGCCTTGGCTAAATGATCAAATTTGAGAAATGCTAACCCACCACAATATTGAATGAAAATGTTCTGTTAAGCAAGGACATTCATAAAGCCTGGGATATGCATGTATCATGCGATTTTGTATGGTCATTACGTGTATTCATGAGCGATTCAAATTACTGGTAAAAATTGCGAGTGATTTCATCTCTGCCCCAAGCGTGCAATCTACAACATTGCATTGGAATCTCCTGCAAATTTAATTGCTGATATTAAACAAGGGACACATTTCTGTTCCTGTTTCTCTTGCTTGGAATAATTTTCTTCCCATATGTCCTTCTAATACGTGCCTGCAAATATGGGGAGCCATTTGTGCCAGGAAAAACAAATCAAAAGTGCTAAATGTGAATTCCTGGTGTTCCCAGGCATATCAATAGTGCCACCAGTAAGCATCAAGCACAGCGTTCAGCGCCAATTGATACTGTTTATTGTTAAGTAGCTTGCATTATTATCGTAATTGTTAAGTGTCGGGTGTTAAAATTAAAAATATAGCTTGGTCCTGAGGTCTTACAGTCTGCCATAGCTGTAGTTTATAACAAGCTTCTCTGTTCATCGCTGGTGCTGACAGACAATCTGTTTCTGTATTTCCCAATCAAATACGTGATGGTCTGGATTGATTTCATATCCATATGTTACACACAAGTTTACATTTAGCAGACAAGATGACCACCATCACTTGTCCCACTTACTGGAAGTGTTTTGTAATGTGATAACTCACATAGCTTCATTTCCCTTCTTCAATTTATTTCTGCCCATACAGATCTAGATCTACCCATTCTCAGGATGTTACAAAGGAATCATTTCTTACCTGCCATATCTTATTGAGCTGGGCAATATAATCTCCTGTTCCAGGAAACAAAGCAATTCCTGTTATCATCTCTACAAAAATACATCCTGCACCCCTAAGCAAAAAGCCAGAATTACCAGCATTAATCACTGTTCATAAATTATTTGATGAGATCATGCTCGAGATTTTAATGAAACGATAGTCAATGCACAGAAAGACTTCATAGAAATTGAGAGTCAAATATCTTTATTTTCTTTTAATAATCACCTTCAGTTATTTATCAACATTCAAAGTAGAATTTGAATGTCGATAAATAACAACAGGGACAACAATCATAATAACAGGGCAAAAGTCTCAGCAGTGCTTTTCCAAATTTCATTTATACAAATATGACTACACAACCTTCAAATCAAAACATTCTTTGTAATACACTTCTGCCAATCAAACAGCAGCAACTTTCATGGAATACTGGTTAACAGAAATGGATTCACACATGCACACTAGGGGAAAATGTTGGCAATGGCAGACTCTTCATCAAGTTTGAATTTGAAGTAAAAACAGTGAAGATAGCTATGATTTATTGTTGCTTGAGTCCAATCTAGAGTTGTTGTCTGCAGAGGGCCTCTGTGAGAATTAGAAATCTGTCGGTGTCTTGTGATGCTTATCTCCTTTTTGTGTACACCTATTTATCATGCTGACAAAGTAGTTTACAATGTGATCTTAAGTCCAGCAATGTAACAACCAAAATTTCTACTCATGGTTTTTGTGTACAACACTTATGACTTCTCTCTGAAGGTGTTGGGAAATCAAATTACATGTAGTGTCCCTACAAAGGTCAAGAGAATTTGGCCAGCCAAACAAAACTACAAATTTACTTCATGAAGCAACAATAAATCATACTGTAACTTACTTTTATATTTGAACTGTTCAATGTTTACATTCCCTCCAGACACGGTTCTTCAGACCAGTATTCCATATAATTATAAGGAGAAGCTGTTTGATTCATTTGACATCTCTGGGATAATGGGTTATGTAAGTGGGAGTGTTGTGCTAAAAATGGAACTGTTATTTCAAATAAGTCAAATTAAATGGTTGTTAATAGTGTGTTAATGACAGCTTGTAACTGTTAGTTCAAACGACCCAGATCATTGTGTTAAAATTTCTAGTTCATTTGTTGGTCAGGGAAAGTGTTAATCTCAATCGTTCAGGTGTACATCAGGTTTAAGACAAGTCTTGAAAAGGTTGGTTTTTCCTATTAAAATTGTATAACAGTGTTGGTTCAAAAGTTTTTAAATATCTTTCTGCTGTGGGCATGAAGTCTTGAGAAATGATCTTTGTGAAAGTTTAGTTTCCAGTTAAAGCTTTGATTTTTGCTTCTCTCTTATCAATCACCATTCACTATGAAATTCTTGAGTTTGCTCATAGAGCACTTTGATTTAGTTGCTGAAATAGTTGACCCAGTGGTATTTCAAATTTTACTCTGATACTGCGTACAAAAGAAAAAATGTTGCCATTTTGTAGATGACGTACCCCAACTTCAGATTAATGGCTGAAACAATACAATAACGCAGGCACGCATATTTTAGGAATGGGTCATTCCAGAAAAAATCCCCCCTCTCCCCCCACCAATGGAAGGGTTCCTTGAAATTCTCTTGGAACAAGGTGTCAAATGCTATGCAAATCCCTGCAACTGGGGGTTTGAACATAAAAATCTTTTTCAGGAATCATTTCCAACTGAATGTTCTGGTAACCTCGAACTTTTAGATGTGTAACATGTGACACTTGAGCACTCTCTGAATCTGAAAACATAGGCACGCAAGGCATGCAAGAGTTATTGTTTTTGTGAACTAAAAGTCTCGGAGATAGGAGCATTCATAGAGCTGTTTACAGTAATGATTTGGTTTATTTGACAAGTTTTTTTGTTGTGATGTACAATGTACAGCAAGAAAGAAACTGGGAATTTATGATGTACATATGATGTTAATGTCGAGGAAAAGGTTGTTGTTATTCATCGTGGTAGATGCAATAATAAAGTGTATTATCGTTTGTCTCACGATGTAGTCACTTGAGATGTAGATCGCGACGTTTCGACTGCTTACTGCTAGTCTTCTTCAGGCGATAAGGTCGACTGATTGCACGGTATCATCAATAGGAGGATCGAAATGCACCAATCACAGCCGACCTTTGTGATATAAATGACACCGTGCAATCAGTCGACCTTATCGCCTGAAGAAGACTAGCAGTAAGCAGTCGAAACGTCGCGATCTACATCTCAAGTGACTACATCGTGAGACAAACGATAATACACTTTATTAATAGCCATAATATTCCAAAAATTCGTGATCTTCAATCTAACAACGTAAGGGAGTCACGCCATAACTTCACAATAACAAATAAATCACATTTCTCATTGGCCAT